CCCACTGCTCGGTGGGCGGAGCTGAGTTCCTGGCTCAGACCCTCAGTGACCTCCCACTGCACGGTGGGCGGAGCTGAGTTCCTGGCTCAGACCCTCAGTGACCTCCCACTGCTCCGTGGGCGGAGCTGAGTTCCTGGCCGTGACCTCCGAGGACCTGCCTGACGGGCTTTCCCTTCTATCTGCGTGTCTCTCCTGCTCCTTTTCTCACTCGGGCATCACTTCTCCTCACTGCCCTGAGCTCTCGGCCTGGACGCCCTGCAGCAGTCTCTGTGTGGCTGGTCCTTCTTGGTGTCCAGGTCCCAGCTCAGATGCCCCCTAGAGAGGCCCTCCCTGACTGCCCTGAGGGGACCCCCTGCCCCACTGTCCTGTCTCAGGGCCTCACCCCTTGTATGTCCCTCCTTGCTCTCCCGCAGTGGGTGATGAGCTTATTTATTCATTGGTTATTTGTTCACTGTCTCGCCCTCCAGACTGTGAGATGGCGGGGGCCGTGTGAATCCGGTCCCCCTGTGTCCCCAACACTGAGCACGGGTGCCTGGCACGTGCCAGACACTCAATGAATATTTGCTGAATAAATGAAAGTTGCAGAGGGAGGACACGAACTCAGGCCTGCCTTGCTCCAGAACCCATACTCTGAAACACATTACTTTAGTCTTCCAGATGGTCAAATGGCTTGATGCCATTTGAGGCCTTGTTCCAGTGCTGGCTTGGCCACCACCATGCTGTGTTGCCTTGGGTAATCACCTGCCCTCTCTGGGGCTCTGATCTGTCCAGTGAGGAGGTGGAATCAGGTAGGGCACCGATGGTTCAGTATTAGTGACAATGGGGCTGGCATTGTTTGGTGGTGGTGCCAGGCCACTAGCCTGAGCATCTGCTCTCTGAGTCTGGTGAAAACTTGGGTGTGGTTTGGGCTTTGGTCTGATGGGTCTGGGCACCTACCCTAGCAGGTCCTTGGATTACATTTAATACAGACATCATCCCTAATCTTCCCAGCAACCCTGAGGTAGATACAGCCGAAACCATTTGATATATGAGGAAACAGGCTCAGAGAGGTGAGGCGAATTGCTTAAGGTCACACAGCCACTAAAGAACCAAGTCAGAATTAGAACCCATGTCACTTGACTCCAAAGTCCTTGCTCTTGTAATCCTCACAGAATTCTGGAGAATCTGAACCTGAACCACATTAACTACTTGCAGTTTCTCTTGTCCATGGATCAATCTT